TACCTAAAACGAAAGATCGCATATACGAGGATTGTCGGTTAAATAAGTTCCACAGAGGTTTTTCATACAGAAAACAGGTTTATCTGCCCTGAACTATACATTTTCGAAAATATCAGATTTTTTTCATTTTTATACATATTCCCTGTTTCGTTCGACGCATTTTTGCATTCGGGATACCCACTTATGGAACCCAGAGTCAAAGAACTCTGCCGCCGCGTAGTAAGCCTAAAACCGCTTCTTCCAACTCGTCATCTTCCTGGAATTGGGTTCCATCCAGGTTCAACTCGTACAAAACAAACACAATATACGAAAGTATTTTAAGAAAGAATTGTGTCCTGAACTATAAACCGGACCTACAGTCCTGGATCTTTCCAGTTTGTCTCGAGAACCACGCCATTACCATCTCCTCAGCAGCGAAGTATACTATCTACGTATTCTTCGTAGATCGCGAAATACGTGGTGTCGCTGGAGACCCACAGGTGATTCTCCACCAAACTCTGCAGCAGTGGCAGAGGCGCCATATTCATTGTACATAATGTATATAATATATATAATATTTTTTTTTAAATAGTGCAGACTGTGCACTTTGCATGTATTGACAAGATGTCAATAAAATTATTTTAATTGTTTATATCTACAATTTCGCCTCTAAGAATATTTGTTTGATACATAGGAAATGAAAGCATCAAAGCACGAATGATTCCTTTACACATAAAATAAACTTCTACTATCCTTACTGCAATGAAGTATGTTTTATTTTTGAAAATAGAGCAATTTATAAATAGATATTTAATTGAAAAAGGCATATATTGGATTAAAAATAATTTATTTATCAGTTGGCTGAACGCCAACCTTTTTCAAGGTTTTACAACATATAACATTTCTATAAAATAATCCCATGTATCAATATTGAGTAAAATTAATCATTCCTCCAGGGAAAAATGTCTTTTCAAAACATTTTTATTGTTCTCTAGAGCACGGACGTCCTTCTACAGGAGAAAACCTGGTATAGCTCGTGTTCTATTGGCTTATCATTATACCATATTTTCTCCTGTAGTAGAGCGTCTGTGCCCGAAAGCTAGAGAATAAAAATGTTTTGAAAAAACACTTTTTCCCTAGAGGAATGATTAAATTTACTCAATATTTATAACATATTTTATATGCCTTTTGAACTTGTTAAAATATACTTTGTGTATTTAATATGATTTTTTTTTCGAAATTGTCAGAAATTATTTCTACATTTGTAATGACATTTTAGAAAATGTTTTATATTCTAAAGACTTTACAGTTATTTGATATGCGGTGCTATAAAATGATGGATGTAGGAATGACTTTTATTTTCGACAAAGAATTCCAGGTTCCCGGCTTTAGTTGTTGCTGCTGTCGTGTCCAATGAAGAGCCTCAGATGTCTACATACATCTCTCTCACAGAAGTCGCAATGTCCTCTATCTTGGGTGTGTAAAGCTGCTGCTCTGGGTCCATGTCAATTTTCTGTTGTTGTTGTCGTGTCCAATGAAGAGCTTCAGATGTCTCCATACATCTCTATCACAGCAGTCGCAATGTTCTCTATCTTGGGTGTGTAAAGCTGCTGCTCTGGGCTCATGTCAATTTTCTGTTGTTGTTGTGTCCAATGAAGAGCCTTAGACAGTCTCCATACATCTCTATTACAATAGTCGCAATGTTCTCTATCTTGGGTATGTAAAGCTGTTGTTCTGGGTCCATGTCAATTTTCTGTTGTTGTTGTCGTGTCCAATGAAGAGCTTCAGATGTCTCCATACATCTCTATCACAGCAGTCGCAATGTTCGCTATCTTGGGTGTGTAAAGCTGCTGTTCTAGGTCCATGCCAATTTTCTGTTGTTGTTGTTGTGTCCAATGAAAGGCCTCAGATGTCTCCATACATCTCTATCACAGCAGTTGCAATGTCCTCTATCTTGGGTGTGTAAAGCTGCTTCTTTGGGTTCATTTCAATTTACTGTTGTTGTCGTGTCCAATGAAGAGCCTTAGACAGTCTCCATACATCTCTATTACAATAGTCGCAATGTCCTCTATCTTGGGTGTGTAAAGCTGCTGTTCTGGGCTCATGTCAATTTTCTGTTGTTGTCGTGTCCAATAAAGAGCCTTAGACATGTCTCCATACATCTCTATCACAGCAGTCGCAATGTCCTCTATCTTGGGTGCGAAAGCTGTTGTTCTGGGTCCATTACAAATTTCTGTTGTTGTTGTGTCCAATAAAGAGCCTTAGACATGTCACCATACATCTCTATTACAGCAGTCGCAATGTTCTCTATCTTTGGTGTGTAAAGCTGCTGTTCTGGGTCCATGTCAAATTTCTGTTGTTGTTGTCATGTCCAATGAAGAGCCTTAGACATGTCTCCGTACATCTCTATCACAGCAGTCGCAATTTTCTCTATCTTGGGTGTGTAAAGCTGCTCTTCTGGGTCCATGTAAATTTTCTGTTGTTGTTGTCATGTCTGAAGAAGAGCCTTTGACATGTCTTCGTACATCTCTATCACAGCAGTCGCAATGTCCACTATCTTGGGTGTGTAAAGCTGCTGTTCTGGGTCCATGTCAATTTTCTGTTGTTGTTGTCGTGTCCAATGAAGAGCTTCAGATGTAACCATACATTTCTATCACAGAAGTCGCAAAGTCCTCTATCTTGGGTGTGTAAAGCTGCTCTTCTGGGTCTATGTCAAATTTTTGTATGGTTGCGGCCTTTGCTGGACATTCTGGTTCATTCTTAAATATATTATCACATATGGGGGGAGTCTTGACACAAAGTTACGTCGTAAATTCAAAGAGAAAAGAAAAAAATAAATTGTGTCCTTAAGAAAAACGTTGGTACAAATGGTCACTTAAGAATAAGAATGGAAAGTCCAAGGTCACAAAGATTGCTACATTTTCTTCGAAATCTGCAGCATCCGTCCAAGTTCCCAAGATTACCTCCATCCTAATGAAACCTGATCATAGGACTTGATAACTATTTCTTGGTAGTGTGAAACGCCTACAGATATACTACTATCTAAGTATGATCATCATGCAGAGATATTTTGACCAAGGATCAATTAAACAATATCGCTATCGGTTAGTTTAAAGTGCTTTTTATTAGTATAACATATTATTTGCAGAAGAGTTCTCAAAATTACTTGGACAGACATGGTAACAAATAATCAAGTACAGAACACCAGCTGATAAAGTTAATAAAACAACGAAAACTGACGTTTGCTGGACATGTGATGCGCAGATCAGCAGGAGAGACATTGCTGACAGTGTTGGAGGGAAAGCTCTGGGGGAAGAGATCGAGGGGAAGGAGACGACAGGGATACACAGACGATCTAAAACAATGGACGACACGAGGAGATGAAGAGGATGGCGGGGGAAGTATGGAGAGACCATGTGGCCCACCCTCAGTAGAGAAAGACATTGAAGGAGGGAGATATGGAGAGACCATGTTGCCTACCCTCAGTAGAGAAAGGCATTGAATGAGAGAGATATGGAGAGACCATGTGGCCCACCCTCAGTAGAGAAAGGCATTGAATGAGAGAGATATGGAGAGACCATGTGGCCTACCCTCAGTAGAGGAAGACATTGAAGGAGGGAGATATGGAGAGACCATGTGGCCCACCCTCAGTAGAGAAAGGCATTGAAGGAGGGAGATATGGAGAGACCATGTGGCCTACTCTCAGTAGAGAAAGGCATTGAAGGAGGGAGATATGGAGAGACCATGTGGCCTACCCTCAGTAGAGGAAGGCATTGAAGGAGGGAGATATGGAGAGACCATGTGGCCACCCTCAGTAGAGAAAGCCATTGAAGGAGGAGGAAAACATTATTTCATAGAAGTTATGTGCACATCTAGATGAACAATTCAGTCCAAAGGCGAATCTGTTGTATTTAAAGAAACTCTTTAACCTATTCATTCAATTATTGAAAATGTTAGACAATATATTTATGTCTGTGAAAAACAGTACAGAAGTGAAATTGTACTTGTATCAGGTGGATAAATTAAGAAAAAAAGCATTTCCTGATCTTGAACTAAAAGTTGCTGATGGCTTCTAAAATTGTTGGTTCTTAATTATTTAAAAATTGGCCGCGTACGTCTGATCAGCCTTTTCTTGATCAATCAAGAAAGGGTATCTGATAAATTCTGCTTAATCTCCTACATAATGCTTCTTCTGTCCCAAAAGTGTATCAGAACAACAATTCCGCAAAGGAAAAGTCCAAGGAGTAGAGTTGGAGAAGTTCAAAGCGTAGATGTAAACATCAAGTACTGTAAAAGGCAGGTTTGACAGGACAGGAAGCTGTTTGGAGCTTACACGGGTTGAAGAGGGTTAAAACGAAGCACAAGCATAGTTCTTATCTCTATATATATAAAAGTCAATTCCTGTCTGTCTGTCTGTTTCGCGATAAACTCAAAAACTACTGAACCAATTGGTTCCAAATTTTGCATGTCGCTTTTTATAAACCTGAGGAAAATTTTTGGCTACATTTTGCTTATTATTTTTGGCTATTTCTTTTTTTAATTTGAAGAACTATTTTTTTACGCGGACTAATCCGGAATGGAATGAATACCTAAATATGGCCATTTTTTTTTAAGCATCGGTGGCTTAGTGGTAGAATGCTCGCCTGCCACGCGGGCGGCCCGGGTTCGATTCACGGCCGATGCATTTTTTTTTTACAATTTTTAAAACTAATTTATAAAAAATATAATTAAATATATACTATTATATCAACTATATGAATTAAATCAAATACCTGAACACTAATATCTATATATATAAAAGTCAATTTCTGTCTGTCTGTCTGTCTGTTTCGCGATAAACTCAAAAACTACTGAACCAATTGGTACCAAATTTTGCATGTCGCTTTTTATAAACCTGAGGAAAATTTTTGGATACAATTTGCTTAGTATTTTTGGCTATTTCTTTTTTTCATTTGAAGAACTTTTTTTTTACGCGGAGTAATCCGGAATGGAATGAATACCCAAATATGGCCATTTTGTATACGGCTCAGTGGTAGAATGCTCGCCTGCCACGCGGGCGGCCCGGGTTCGATTCCCGGCCGATGCATTTTTTTTTAACAATTTTTAAAACTCATTTATATTATATATCTTCTATATATATAAAAATGAATGTTTGTATGTTTGTTTGTTTGTTTGTTGGTTTGTATGTCCGGTATACAAATTCGCAGTAGTTCACTAATTCAAACCAAAATTTCCATACATAGGTAAAAAAAAATACGAGGAAAACGATAGGCTATTTTAAATTATATATAAATTAAATATTAAAACTATATATTCAAATTATTCTACTTAGCTCACGAACAGCGCCCTCTATCAAGGTTATAAATACGTTTAAAATCGAAATCTTCTCAAAATTTTATTAATAATAGTGTGTTCGCTTAATAATTAGAATACTTGATCTAAATCGAAATATTTATAGACGCTCGCTCGATTTGAAGATTTAGATCGTAACTAATCTGACTGTAAAGTTTGGAGCGGGACGTTTCACAAGAGTGACATCCACGGCGCCAATTTATAATTGTAACGAATAGTGTTTGAATAAAACATTTAATCGGGTAAACCCGGGCGTTGCCCGGGTCATTCGTCTAGTTATACAATATAATGCGGTTTAAAATTGTAGAACGAAATTTGAAAATTATACCGCAAATGTTTCTTTTGAACGAAAAATTGAAATTTATTTCAAGGAGAAATAACGATTATTTCTAACCTTAGAGATGAGGTATGAAAGGATGAACCGTGAAGAGTAATGATGAACCGAAAAATAAAAGTGTCCAGGAATGGGAAACGAATCCACAGTATTCCGCTTACCGGGCAGATGCCATGTCCACTAGGCTACCCTGGACACTAGGCTTCACATCCCTGGACACTTTTATTTTTCCGTTTATCATTACTCTTCACAATTCATCTTTTCATACTTCATCCCTAAGGTTAGAAATAATCATTATTTCTCCTCAAAATAAATTTCGATTTTTCGTTCAAAAGAAACACATGCGGGATAATTTCAAATGTCGTTCTACAAGTATAGTTCTAATTGTAAGGAAATTGGTTTGATCCAAAATATAACCTGGTGGCAGGATTCAATCAGGCAAGTTGAATTGGTGAGTTCAGGGGTGGAAGATGGAGGATCATTGAAGAACGAAATTTGACAATTTTACCGCAAATGTTTCTTTTAAACAAAAATCTAAATTTATTTTAAGGAGAAAATAACGATTATTTCTAACCTCAGGGATGAAGTATGATTGGATGAATTGTGAAGAGTAATGATAAACGGAAAAATAAAGTGTTAAGGGATGGGAATTATTGTTGGGATGGAGCATCATTGTTTCATGGCCCGAAGAAGAATAGCAAGGTGGGTAGAAACCTCGTCGTAAATATTTATAACAATAGATTGTGTATTATTTTTGGTCTTCCTTTTGTTATTAATCTTATATTAATAAATGAGCCAAATATATTTATTAGTTATATTTATTGCATAACTTTTACAGGGAGCCTCACATTGTTTTCTTTTAACAACAAAGAACACATTAACATACCAATTGATGATGATCCACTCACAGAGTATTTCTTAATACTTATTCATAGAAATGGATCATAATATTAAAGCTTAAACACATTATATAACATCTCCCCCTTAAGCTAAAGGATGTGTTTAAGCTTTAATATTATGATCCATTTATATGAATATGTATTAAAGATTAAACACATTATATAACAGATTGTATTTTTAAAATTACAAAATATTTTCTCAAAACCAGATTCTTTTTTATTTTAAAATGCTATCTTTCAAGCGATAATCGCTCTTTAACGGCCTCAAAAAAACATCGACTCTATCTTACAAGAAATATTTACAAATACAAACGCGCGCAATTTACAACTGATTTTTTTTTATTAAGCCCATTGAAGAGTGATTATCGCTTGAAAGCTAACATTTTAAAGTAAAAAAGAAACTCATTGTGAGAAAATATTTTGTAATTTTAAAGTTTTTTACAATTTTATCATGATAAGATTGTATGTAACACTAACAAATTAATGTGTAAGTCACACAATAAATTGTTCTCAATCTATATTCTTAACAAATTATCAAAACAAATATCACACTATAACAAGACTCAGAACGAAACACTATAAAGGAATGACAATATATCCAGATGACACAAGAACCTATAGGACATGTAACAACTGTCCTGGTGTGGAACTAACACCTACCTACATATTCTCATGCCCAGCAATGGCCGCAGCCTTGCAGAAAATTGACTTAGACCCAGAGCAGCAGCTTTACACACCCGAGATAGTGGACATTGCGACTGCTGTGATAGAGATGTATGGAGACATCTGAGGCTCTTCATTGGACACGACAACAACAACAGAAAATTGACATGGACCCAGAGCAGCAGCTTTACACACCCAAGATAGGGGACATTGCTGTGATAGAGATGCATGGGGACATCTGAGGCTCTTTATTGGACACAACAACAACAACAGAAAATTGACATGGACCCAGAACAGCAACTTTACACACCCAAGATAGAGAACATTGCGGCTGCAGTGAAAGAGATGCATGGGGACATCTGAGGCGCTTCATTGGAGACAACAACAACAGAAAATTGACATGGACCCAGAGCAGCAGCTTTACACACCCAAGATAGAGAAAATTGCGACTGCTGTGATAGAGATGTATGGAGACATCTGAGACTCTTCATTGGATGCGACAACAACAACAACAGAAAATTGACATGGACCCAGAGCAGCAGCTTTGCACACCCAAGATAGAGGACATTGCGACTGCTGTGATAGGTATCCATGAGGACACCTGAGGCTCTTCTTTGGACACGACAACAACATAAAATTGACATGGACCCAGAGCAGCTTTACACCACCCAAGATAGAGGACATTGCGACTGATGTGATAGAGATGTATGGAGACATCTGAGGCTCTTCATTGGACACGACAACAACAGAAAATTGACATGGACCCAGAGCAGCAGCTTTACACACCCAAGATAGAGAAAATTGCGACTGCTGTGATAGAGATGTATGGAGACATCTGAGACTCTTCATTGGATGCGACAACAACAACAACAGAAAATTGACATGGACCCAGAGCAGCAGCTTTGCACACCCAAGATAGAGGACATTGCGACTGCTGTGATAGGTATCCATGAGGACACCTGAGGCTCTTCTTTGGACACGACAACAACATAAAATTGACATGGACCCAGAGCAGCTTTACACCACCCAAGATAGAGGACATTGCGACTGATGTGATAGAGATGTATGGAGACATCTGAGGCTCTTCATTGGACACGACAACAACAGAAAATTGACATGGACCCAGAGCAGCAGCTTTACACACCCAAGATAGAGAACATTGCGACTGCTGTGATAGAGATGCATGAGGACACCTGAGGCTCTTCTTTGGACATGACAACAACAACATAAAATTGACATAGACCCAGAGCAGCAGCTTTAGACACCCAAGATAGAGAAAATTGCGACTGATGTCATAAAGATGCATGGGGACATCTGAGGCTCTTCATTGGACACGACAACAACAACAACAACAGAAAATTGACATGGACCCAGAGCAGCAGCTTTGCACACCCAAGATAGAGGACATTGCGACTGCTGTGATAGGTATCCATGAGGACACCTGAGGCTCTTCTTTGGACACGACAACAACATAAAATTGACATGGACCCAGAGCAGCTTTACACCACCCAAGATAGAGGACATTGCGACTGATGTGATAGAGATGTATGGAGACATCTGAGGCTCTTCATTGGACACGACAACAACAGAAAATTGACATGGACCCAGAGCAGCAGCTTTACACACCCAAGATAGAGAACATTGCGACTGCTGTGATAGAGATGCATGAGGACACCTGAGGCTCTTCTTTGGACATGACAACAACAACATAAAATTGACATAGACCCAGAGCAGCAGCTTTAGACACCCAAGATAGAGAAAATTGCGACTGATGTCATAGAGATGCATGGGGACATCTGAGGCTCTTCTTTGGACACGACAACAACATAAAATTGACATGGACCCAGAGCAGCTTTACACCACCCAAGATAGAGGACATTGCGACTGCTGTGATAGAGATGCATGAGGACACCTGAGGCTCTTCTTTGGACACGACAACAACAACAACATAAAATTGACATGGACACAGAGCAGCAGCTTTACACACCCAAGATAGTGGACATTGCAGCTGCTGTGATAGAGATGTATGGAGACATCTGAGGCTCTTCATTGGACACGACAACAACAGAAAATTGACATGGACCCAGAGCAGCAGCTTTACACACCCAAGTTAAGGACATTGCTACTGCTGTGATAGAGATCCATGAGGACACCTGAGGCTCTTCTTTGGACACGACAACAACATAAAATTGACATGGACCCAGAGCAGCTTTACACCACCCAAGATAGAGGACATTGCGACTGATGTGATAGAGATGTATGGAGACATCTGAGGCTCTTCATTGGACACGACAACAACAGAAAATTGAAATGGACTCTGAGCAGCAGCTTTACATACCCAAGATAGTGGACATTGCGACTGCTGTGATATAGAGAGATGTATGGAGACATCTGAGGCTCTTCATTGGACACGACAACAACATAAAATTGACATGGACCCAGAGCAGCAGCTTTACACCACCCAAGATAGAGGACATTGCGACTGCTGTGATAGAGATGCATGAGGACACCTGAGGCTCTTCTTTGGACACGACAACAACAACAACATAAAATTGACATGGACACAGAGCAGCAACTTTACACACCCAAGATAGTGGACATTGCAGCTGCTGTGATAGAGATCCATGAGGACACCTGAGGCTCTTCTTTGGACACGACAACAACATAAAATTGACATGGACCCAGAGCAGCTTTACACCACCCAAGATAGAGGACATTGCGACTGATGTGATAGAGATGTATGGAGACATCTGAGGCTCTTCATTGGACACGACAACAACAGAAAATTGAAATGGACCCTGAGCAGCAGCTTTACATACCCAAGATAGTGGACATTGC